GGAGGAATATGCGCACTGAATTGTCCGAATTCGAAGCCGGCATAACAATCCAGTCAATTATGATTCATGGCGTTTAAGCACAAACAACGTTAAATTGCACAACGAACCTATCGATACGGTATCGGAACATATGTCCAGTATTATTTAGTAGGGGTGTGCGAATGTCGTTTGAATCATATCAAATCGAATGTTAATATCTAAAGTAATGGTACACCCCTATTTTTTAATAAATAAATATGCAACTGCGATATTTCTTTTTGTTAACTGTCTTTTGTTTTGATAAATGCGCATTACATCACGTAGTCATGTCTACGGTTCGTAGCAGGTGCTACGAAACATCCGCAGTAGAGACAGGTTGTGTTTGAAGTTTGATTTCGTATAACTTCTAAGTTGTTGTATTTTGAATTTACATATAGAAAATATATTCATGAAAATCTAAATTATATGACAAAATCGTTGCTAACTAGTACAATTAGGAAGTTTATTCATTAAATAAGTGTTAATCTTTACTTGATATCAAATGACTCATATAACGATATTTTTATATTTCATACTATCTGTTGCAATCGATTTCGCCCGCGCGAAATAAATAAAATATAGCCTATGTTACTCATTGACAAACTAGCTTTTTTATGGTGAAAGAGTTTTTGAAATCGGCTCCGCAGTTTTTGAGTTATTTCAATACATACAAAAATCTAAACTAAACTAGCGCGTACCATCCTTCGACCACATCTTCACCTTGGTCTTGGTGGGATAGTGGTCAAGCGCTGGTTTTTTGCAATTAAAAAAAAAAAATCTATAAATATTATATAAATCTGGATTATTTAATAATTCAAGAGGCAAATTAAACCAGTATTTAAAAAAAGTAAGAAAAACTAATATATCATAGTTAAATTGAAATCTAAAAAAAAAACATTGTTGTTTTGTAACAAGATTTGAACATTGTATGAAAATGTTCGTATAATTCTGAATCCAGTTTAATGTAACAGTATAGTTTCATCGGCTTTGATTTACAGTCACGCGATCCCGGTTATCTAGTCCGTTCATTTCCTGCTCCGTTATGGAGGCACGATTAAAATACGTGACAAACTATATTCTGCCTAGTTTTGACAGCCTTTCTATAAAAAATAATATCTCAGTTAGATGAACTAGGTAGTAAAGGCTGTGGCCCTTTTCAACCGACTTAAAAACGAGGTTTTCAATCTCTAATCTCTGTTTTCGGATGTAAATATTAACTTCTATTCTTGGCCGACACTGATACCGAAATAATAATATTTGTGCAAAATAAGGTTTCCAAAATAACTTCATGAATTAGTTTTGCTAACTTTTGTCCATATTCAAATATGTTTTATGGCGATGTAGCAATAAAAATATACTTATATTTTACTACGTTATAAATATGAAAGTTTCGATGGTTGGATGTTTGCTAGAGTTTGTAGCCTAAACGGTCGAATGGATGTCGATAAAATTTGTGGATAGCATAGACGTAGATGATAGTCTGGAAGAACATGTAGGCTACAGCCCTTTTTTAATTCCACGCAGACAGAGTTGCGAGCGAAATCTAGTACGCTATTAAAGGTGGAGGCCAATTTTATCACAAGACACACATTATTTTGAATTCCATTAAAAAAACAACGATAAACAATTGAATAAATTACCAATCAATATCTATGAAGACATATTATGCTGTTAAACTATTAACTAAATTTCTATTGTAATTTTTACTTTAACACCTTTGGATAGAGTTGAAAATCCTTTGTGTATAGTTCAGCGCAATTCGGATGTGCATAATCAGACAGGGAATTCGGTGCAACTGGCATTACATTGAGTGCCAACTCTAGATTATTGTGCTATTATGGACAATTATAATACGAGCTCCCACTTGCGAGCTTATCTTAATTGCTGCACGGCTGGGACATGTTATCTAACGGTATATTATATGTATAAACTAATAAATAAAACACCAATAACCCAATAGTTAAGGGGACTACAAATTTTGGCCATGGCTTCAAATCCCGTCATGTCCAAGCTTCAAGCTTGTCTGGTATGGTTTATAGTATAAGGCGACAAACGAGAAAGGGGCCATTGGAATTCGCTAAAATAGCAGCTCCAAGAAATATTATAAAAAAAAAGAATAAATTTGAGTAATCAATGTGTTCTTCCATACTATCCTCTACATCTATGCCAAATTTCGTTGATATCCTTTCTTCTACAAACTCTAACATCCATCCATCTAGATTTTCACATTATAATATTAGTTAAATTAAAAAAAATCCACCGATATTAAAAAACCTTTTTAAGTTTTATTCTTTTTTAAATTTTAATAAACGTGCTTACATTTTTACCTTTTGTTGTTTTCTCTAAAAAGTTGCGATGCTCTTGTTAGACGAACTCGTTAAAAATTTTATACAACTTAAATAGGACAATTTCTTACATTTGTCTGCTTTTATTTAGTTTTCCGTTTTTAATACTATCACAAACTTTCGATTTGACTTGTGAAAAAAACGTACAATAAAAAAGACAACAACATATTAAAATAAACTTTTTAAACCGTGCAAAAATAATTCTTTTATGAAAAAAAGATTATGGAACAGTTTCAAAAAGCGACAATGCTAAAGCGAGCATACATGCTAATTAAGTACTTAAGTAAACAATTTAACTGAAGGCCAAATCCCGCTTGCAACAACCTCCGCTGGGTTTTCCTCTGAGAGCCTTTTACTTGGCTTAATATTAACATTTTGTATTATGCTAAAGATTTTTATACGTTAAAATTCTCACTATTATGTCATAAACGATTCTCAACTCATAACTTTATGATCGCCTTATTTAAACAGGATGATACTTAAGTTAAACTTGGTAATAATGTTTTTAACAATTCGGTGTTTTATTATTTTCATACTAGCTTTCGACCACGACTCCGTCCAAATTGTAAAAAAAATCCAAGTAGCCTATGTGTTCTTCCAGACTATACTCTACATCTATGCCAAATTTCATCGAGATCCGTTCAGCAGTTTAGGCTACAAACTCTAACAAACATCCATCTATCCATCTAAACTTTCGCATGTTTAATATTAGTAAGATAAGTTACAAGAAAAAACAAGCAAGTGGCCATTTAAAGTAAATGAAATAGCGAAGCGACCGCTGCCCATAGTCATCCGCAATTGTAAATGCTTTGCCTTCCAAATCTACTACTTAAAAATAAAATCTTGTTAGTTTATAAAATCTAATCGTTCATTTGTTTCGGTAGTTTTAGGAAAACAATAGAAAAAAAGCACAACATACCGTTTTAATTAAAAACGAAAATTTAAAAACTTAAGTGATCATCAATTTGAGGGCATCAGTAATCTTCTAACTTCTTCCAAAATGTTATGGGTAACGTTAACTTCTCTATTTAACGAATTCATGGGGCCTACCATGAAAAGTGCGACAAAACATTCGTGACATCATAAACGTTCAGTACAGCAAAAGTACTGATACTGTCACTTTTCGTACTAGACACCCATTTTGCTATTATAACAAAGCGTTTACTGTAAAAATCATCAAAAACGATTTGCTTAATGATTCAACAGAAATGAACAGTGTTATCCAGATAACGGACATTTCGGGAACAATCTCGGATCGCGTGCTTGAACGTAATAAATCAACTGGCTGAATATCATTGTGTTAAGAATGATTCAGATTCCTTCGTAATGATTAATCATTTGTTACTTCATTTTAATATGCGATGGTATTACTCAAATATAACTAAATAAATACCTCGAAAAATACCTGTTTTTGGTACGGGGGAGGGGGAATTAAGAAAAATACCATGTCTTTTTATAAAACAGGATTATGTGATATGTCTACTCACTAAGAACCTCGTTGAATTTGAGGATCTCCAATGAAACGCACCGGTACCCTCAGCATCAGTGCAATAAAGCAAGGCTTTTGCTCGGTCCCCGGGAAAATACCTAAGCATTTGTACAAAATAGTAAAATCAGTTGAGAAAAGAGGTTCTCAAACTTTTTGAATTTGGAAAACTTTAACGTAAATTATTCAAATGGAATTTTTAATAAACATTTTTTACATGTTTGTTCACGTACACAAGAGGGGCGCCTTTTTTCTTGGTATCGGGAGGGGCAATCTTCAAAAAGAAACATTTCCTTCTGGAAGGGAAGACAGGGTTATGTGACGTTTGTACCCACTAAAACTCTCTCGGTGGGAGCAATAGAAGAGGGTTCCGGGATCTACAAAAAAAGCGTACCTAGCAGTGAGTATTCGGTGTTCGAACATATATAACATTTTCGAGGACACCAAAGGGTCTGTCTAGACTACTTTAGGAAGAACTGGGTTACCAGTTAAAATGGCTAAGTAATAATTAAAAACATTTTTTTCTGTCTTACGAATAACTTCGACGTTACCAAAGAGTATTGATATATTTTCTTACTAATGTAACTTTGAAACTCATTTCTCATAACATCGGGAATAATTTGTAACATGAGACGGCGCGAAATATTGACTGTCACCTGTGGGAACGGTAATAGTCCCGTGTGACGTCACACCTCATTGCTCACTGTCACATTTTCCCCTCAAAATGAATGGTAGGATTCACATAGCTATTTGTACTTAAATTCTTCTAGTTACTTTTGTAGGTAATTTAACTTTAAGCGTAGAATTTCATGCCATACAAATGTATTTTTATGCAACAAAAAATTAAACCTTCAAAAAACAGTATTATTCTAATAGTTATATCAAGATATAGTATTAAAGTGAGTACTAACCGACGCCAAACATTCATGCAGTCCGTACGTAGTGTTATAAAGTAACCAGCGAGCAACGAGCCGCTCGATGCGTAACTTGTAACATTACACAGCGTAACACCATTCAATACGCACCTAGGAACAGTTAATTTTATATTTTATAACCTACTTGGTTGTTATATAACAAAGTAAGCCATATTTTTCTGAAAACTAAATTGACTGTCACAATGACATATAATTTACAAAATAAATAAATAAAACGAGCTGTCTTTGGGACAAACTTTAAGTTGAAATAAATTATTTTTCTATCATTATGGCTTATGGTAAGAATAATTTAATATTAAACAAATCTATAGCTCATAATAATTTCTTCTATGTCTTTGAAAACTCGTCGTAAGAGATTTGCAATTAAAATTTATTTCACAGAACCAATTCCTGATGAAATCGGAGATATAAATTTGGATAATTATTATCTAGACCATCAAACGTATAATAAATCTGTATTCGTTCATAAGAAATTCTTACCAAAGAATAAATTTCATAGAAAAGCATATTATGATCATGAAATTAATAAGAATTACGCTAAACCTGATATGCAAGAGAAAAGTCAACAATTTGACGTTGGATGTGATATCCAAAAAGAATCTAACGAAAAGAGAAAAATCAGAAATAATTTACACGACGAGATTATTTTAGCACAAACAGTAAAGTTTGCTAAAGATTTAGCGCCGAAAATAATACCTCCAAGTAGAGAGTTCTCTCCCACACCAGTTGTGTACACTATAAAAACATCTAAAAAACGTGGAAAGAAGATTTCAAAATGTTCCAGTCCACGAGAAAATGATTCAATGCCTAATGTACATAAATCTAAAGATACTAGATATTCTAAAAAAGATAAGATCTGTATTTCAAAGGAAGATGTAAGTCAAAGTACTCAGGATAATACATCAGAGGATTTACAAACAAATCAAAGTTCCTCGCTCTCCCTTTCAGAAGTATTTGAAAACAAATTGAATAAAACTACAAGGACTCATAGAAAACGTAAACAAGAATTTGAATCTAAAATGAATATATCCAATACTGTAGAAGGCATAGCAACAGCTATAGATAGTACAAATAAAATAAAAATTCACATAATGAACGAAGAAGAAAGGAATGTATTTTACGAAAGTATAAGAGATCCGATTGTGAATACAGTTAAAGAATATTTAAATGAAATTAAAAATCCATCTGGGATAGCTGCGGAAATTCAAATTATATCGCAGACACTGGCATCTAATATGGAAAAATTAGATTACGCAATAAACACACTACAAAACATTGAAAGAAAAATAACTGATTATGGTGATAAAAAGACGAGAGTTATTATGTCACCTAAACCGATTTCCTCTAAAGCGTCGAGATTAGAAGAACTGGCTGAAGATATGCCTGATGTTAGAGAAGTATATGATGAGGATTATGAAGCCGCTTGTAGGAAAACAATGGTTACTAGAAGTGCAGTTGTAGCAATGAGCCCAAAGGAATATAGAGCTAATAGAATTCCTGATAATTACGATCATGGAGAAACGGGACCTGTGCAGGTAAATGTAACATACAGTCAGTTGGAAACCAAACAAGAACGCCCTAATAGAATTCCAGCCAGATTTTGTTGGACAGATGGAAACAGAAATAATTAGAAGAAAGAAGAAGAAAGAATTTCATAAGTTTGGTTTTATCTTTTGTAGCATTCTAATCGTAGATTTACTAGATTTTTCTGTTAGTTTTATATTATTCGTTGTAATGTTATTTCATCTAGATATAAACGTTGAAAATGTAATAAATAATCGATATTTTATCGTTTTACCAACGTTATGAAAACATTTTAGTACTAGCTTTCGCCCACGTCTCCGTCTGCGCGGAATTACAAAAATGCAAGTAGTCTATATGTTCTTCCAGACTATCCTCTATATCTATGCCAAATTGCATCGAAATACGTTCAGCCGTTTAGGCTACAAACTCTAATCTGTAATAACATCCATCTGTGTAATAACATCCATCTGTTCATCTTAACTTTCGCATTTATAATATTAGTAAGATAACCCCACAGGTCTGGAAACTCTAGCGAAATCTTTTATTATTTTAACGAAGGAACACTAAATTTTAATTGATAAATTTTATTTTGACCGACTTCATATTAAAAGAAAATCGTAACTAATAATGTTAATTACATTACAGTTATAATTATGCGTGCTACCGTGGTATTCCAAACCTATATAATATTAAAACAACAGTTGGACATGCGCTGGATTTTGTTACACATTATCGTGATTTTGTTACACACAGAACGTGTATGTTGAAATATGATTTCTGGTCTGTCGCAACGTGTTACTGATAAGCTTGTTTTCATTCCGTGAACATTATGTATGTAGTAATATTATAAAGAGGAATGATTTGTAATTTTGTATGTATTGAAATAACTTAAAAACTACTGGGTCGATTACAAAAATTCTTTCACCAACAAAAAGCTACGTTGACAGTAACATATGTACAATATATAAATGAAAGCTTATGCTTCGTTCATATGACGCGCTTGTTGATATTCCATAGTTTTTTACCGTTTTTTGTGTCACATTTCCATACATTTTTTAATGGCCTATGACATAGCTATATTCTTGTACATAAAATATACATACTACGATTTCAAGCATTTATATTATATTTAATAATTTAATTTGTGTGCGATGTGGAGAGTCGAAGAATAAAATTGTATTAAGAGAATCTTTGTATACGTGTGCGTACAGCTTTATTGAAGGCAAAAGCAAATGCAAGAATAGTATAACAAAAATAAAAATTTTAAAAATCATATTTACAAAGATATTGAAAAGAAATCATGCAAAATATAGTGTACTGTAAAAACTGTTGAATCAATGTGAGATATTTGTTTGAAAGCTGTTTGATAGTTGCAGAGTAGCTATAGTATAGAGAAATCGATAGAAAATAGATCGAAATGTTGCTAAGAATAAGGCAATAACTCACCAAGGTTTGGGCGGCTGCCTGGTGCTGGAAAAACAGGCCTCAGTCAGTAATGACAGAAATAAAGAAAAGTATCGCGTCAAAGGAAAATGTAGTGGAAAGATAGTGTAATGTGTGTGTTAGTACATATTCAACCTTATTCATCTTGACATAAAGTTAAAATTTCAATAAAAATATCAAATATAGATTGTTAATTGAGAATTTTCAAATCTAAACTTAAGGCTTCTTATTGTATTTGATTTTAATTTATCTCATAAAAAAATAAGAACAGTTAAGCAACAAAATGCTTTCCGAATACTGTCATAAAATATCACTTAACATTTGAACTAATTTAAAAGAAATAAAAGCAAACAAAAACAAACGACAATTAAAGTAAACTTAACCCATTTGAGCAATCTAGAAGCGCTATTTGCCGTAATACGGTTCATAAAATAGAAATTATGTGCCGTTGATATTGTAGACGGGTTGCGCTACCGAAGTCATACACCCATTATTAAGTTAAGATCTTGGATTTGATCCAAACTGCAATGTACAGTCAGCTTCATATGTATTTACCAATATATGGACAATTATATATTTTAACAGTGGTAGAGCCCGCTTTAACATCTTCGCACGAATAGGTCGGCTCGCCCGGTGTAATACCACGACTACACAGAAAACAGGCGTGTAGTGGAAGCAATTCCGCGTTTCGTCGGATGAGTGTGGTGCTGGAGGCCTAATTTTAGTCCCTTTCCCTTTCTACCCTTTTCTTAAGAGGAAAGGATGGAAAGGAAAAGTGAATTTGACGATGGAGGAGACGCATAGGAAGAGGGAATATCCTCTTTATGTGCGTCTACTCCTCCGTCAATTAAGGGTAGGCAGCGCGTCTGCAATTGCGGATATTTATGGGCAGCGGTCGCTTTCCATTTCAGTGGATTCAGGTGGCCGCTTGCTTGTTTGCCATCTTATATTATAAAAAAAATACAATATCGTCATATACAATCGTTATGTCCGTATGCTTCCGACCATGAATACACGTTACAGACCAATATATGAAATTGAAGGCTTGTGCATATTTCTATAGTTCTGTAAATGTATACATATTTATTAAGCTGACTGTACTATGTGCTTCAGACGACGTCTATTTGCACACTGTTCGCTAACGTACGAGAGAATAGACCTGTCATCTTACTCGATGTAGGAGAGAAAATAGTAAAAGATCTTTTGACGAAGAATAATTTATTGATTTGCTATATAAGTAAGTTTTTTACTGTTTGTTTATTCTTATTTCTGATTAGTTATGAATTATAGCTTTCGCCCGCGACTCCTTCCGCGTGGAAGAAACAAAAGTCGAGATCTATTCAGCAGTGTAGGCAACAAACTAATATCTATCCATTTAAACTTTCGCATATATAAATTTAGATAGATATCGTATCTTTAGAACTTTAACCAGAACCTATTACTCCTATTTTTTTTCGATTATCTTTCCATACAATTAAATAAGCCATACATTCAGGAACTGTTTTCTTTTAGTGTTAAAATTGCTTGAAGAATATTTTCTGAGATAGAAACTGTATAACTCAAAGTGAAATAAAAAAATATGTTTAACTTTTTAAATCCGTTTTAATCTTAATTTTTAGATGTTTCTTTTATTAATGTAGCGGTTTGCGGTAATAAAGAATTCTTTTGTTAAAATATCTTATCTATAAATATCATTCTTAAAAAGAAAAATGTATACTCAGCAATAATACTTTGTCCCGACACCGAACAAAGCCTTTTGTTTCGCTTTGTCTTATAGGCTTTACATTTTCACCAACTAAAATGTTAGAAAACCGAGCAAATTGTTATTAACTATTATATTAATGAACTTGTGAAATGTATAATCGAAAAATTATTATATCTTTTTAATATTATTAATGCGAAAGTTTAGATGGATGGATGTTTGTTACAGTTTGTTGCCTAAACGGCTTAACGGATCTCAACGAAATTTGGTATAGACGTATAGGATAGTCTGGAAGAACACATAGAATACTTGTTTTTATTTTTTTTTTCCGCGCGGACAGACTCGCGGGCGAAAACTAGTTAATTAATAAAAGCTTCTAAGCCACTATACTTTCATGATAAGTATTGTACCGTATGTACAGCTTCATAAATGTGACATTTACAAATCTTTAAAAAACTTAAATTCATTCGGTTAAAAATATATTTATTCTTATATAATTAGTGAGAACTAGTAGTCGTATGCGTACATATGCATACTTTTTTAAACCAAAGTCGTATAGAAATTTCTAAAAGAGAACGTAGCTGACTGTACAAACCATGTTCATTGGTCGTCGAATTCTGTTGGCTTAGATGCTTTCAGAGGCCATCATTTCAAAGCCGATGAGTAAAAGGATTTCAGAGTTATTTTATGGTCGGGCTTACAAACTCTTTGGAATGAATTTTGCTCAGAGTTGACTGTGACTTTTTTGCGATTTAAACTAACTTTTTTTTGAGTCTGGAATAAACTTAGACGAAATATGTTTTTAAACATCGTTATAGTCGTTTCTCTGTTTTGTTTCTTTTAATTCAAGGGGGTAAATGAGTGACGGGAACACCAAGGTGATCAACGACGCCTATGGACATCCGCAACACCAGAGGAAGTACAGATGCGTTGCAGTCCTTCGAGGAAATGGTACACTCGCTTCTTGAAGGAACTTAAGTCATCCTTTTTACAATTTTAATCGTATTTTTATTGAGGTAGTGTGAAATAAATTAATACACGCGCTGTAATATCTCGTAATGCAAACAAAGGCAATGAAACACGTATTTAAAATGTCATAAAAACCCGTATATTTAATCTAAAGCACTGTCAACACTTAAACATGTTTAACTGCTGTTTTACGCTCGTACGTTGCGTAATAGAGAATTTATTACAAGCCATTAAAAGCTTTAATACAGGTGCCATTAGGTCTCAATTAAAACGTAAAACATACGGCTGAGATTTGTATTATTTATGACTGATGTTAAAACGTACGTTTGTAACACTGATGGGTATGCTTTGAATTATGGTAACAACGTTTTGATAGATGTCGCGAGTTATACGTTGTTTTCTTTTTTATGTACATTTAGCTTTACTTTATTAAGTTTATTTTAACAAATATTACAAAGTAGAAATAAGGTTACATATTGATAGACGATACAATTCTACAAAACATTCCTTCTCATTGAAAACAAAGTACACATTACAACAGAGCCTGTAATCGGCTCTAGCGGTACACGCCCACAAAGTAGACAGGCGCCAATCATCTGATGTGCGTGTCGTAGACCTAAGTGGATTTAAAGGAGGGGATACATTTTTAATCTTTATTAGGAGGAAGGGGATTTTTAACTTTAAAAAGTCATGCCAATCCCATAGTGCAACTGTTAGTAATTAGGAAACGAGCTGGCATAATTGTACAGCCGATATCAATGTCGGGTTGAGCTTCAACTCCTGGAAAAGTAGCTCACGCTACTTACATAGGGATGGAAATATCCTAGTACTGAGCGTCTCTTTTCCGTAGTTTAAAGTAAGTTAACGAATCTACAATTGCAGATATCTATATGGAACTGTCGCTTTACTTTTTCTGAAGATGCAGATGGCCACTCGCTTTCCATCTTATGAAATAAAAAAACACGTTTTAAATATAAAAGTGGTTTGGATACAGAACACTTTTCTCTGATTATTTTAGGTATACTGTAGGTATAACAAATACAATTAATAGCTTGTAATCAGCAGAGTGGGAACTAAAGCACGGAAGATGTATCGCAGTCTGAAACTGGATTAAGTGACTTTCAGCTTAGATTAATTGTATCCATGAAATGCAGGCGGTACATTGACAAATCGTGGAAATGTTCCACCGTATACAAGCTTGTATATAACAGTGAATAACGTATATATTATAATATATCTATATGTATATATTACTAGCTTTCGCCTGCGAATCCATTCGCGTGGATTTAAAAAAAACAAATATGAGTAGCCTATGTGTCCTTTCAGAGGATCCTCTTTATCTATACTAAATTTCATTGTAATCCAATCAGCTGTTTAGGCTACAAACTCTAACAAACATCCATCCATCTAAACTTTCGCATTTATAATATTAGTATGATTCTTTTAACTGCCATGTAGTAAAAATGTAACCACATAGGCGTCGAAATGTATTAAGTTAAAAATAATTACTTGAACACTTTAAATTTAATTTTTCTTAACGTAGAATAGTTTAGTTAAGTTATTTAACTTAAGTACCTAGTTAACTTGACTTTGTAACCTCCTTGTATTTAGTAGGTCGCGAATATTACATAACGACCAGTTTTATGACTTGGCCCTAAGCAATATAAAAGCTCTTTCGAGTTACCTTTATCTAAAAATGATACTTTATGTCATAAAATATTGGTTAAAGTACATAATTGCATCAATATAATAATCTCTAAAGGCTTAAAAGCCTTAATTTTTGCTAATCATGAATGACTAGAAATAATTTGCAGTCGGTTACAAAATTATCAATTTATGAAAAAATTCAACAACCTAAATTGAAAAAACTCTAAACGTAAAGAATAGCTCAGGTACCTTGAAACAACTTGTAATAAACAATTCAAGAATTTTTAGTGTAGTTGTTTTCAACGGTAAATTGCGTAGAGCGAGCGTAGCGACTATGTAGACCGTAGCACGCTCGTAGATGCTGCTACAGAAACTGTAGCACGCGCAACACTAACGATTGTTTGCGGCTTCACTTAACTAACTTTTAAAGCACGTTTTGTTTTAAAGAAACAAAACTCTGTTTTAAACTATAGTTTTTTTAACATAAGTGGTTAACTTTAACAAGTTCCGTTTTCAAATGTTTTTGTTCTCTTTTCCGTTTGTTTTTTAAGTTAGCAATTATTTCAAACTTAAGGCTTAGAGTAGATTTCTTGTATTATTAAACCCAACCTAATTTACCAGTCTCCTCTCGTAAACAGGCGAATTCTAATCGGTACTATAAAACTAGCTGTTATCGGTGAGATCAAAGGGAACGCACGTGATCGAGGCACGCCAGCGTTACGTAAGGCAGGGTGAATGCAGTCACCATAACAACGCGAGTCAAACAGGACACCTCGCCGCTCGCCGCTCGCCTCTCGCTGCTCCTCTACTCATTATAAACAAGTTTACGCTACAATCAAAACAACATCCATCATACTATGCCGCGGACATCATAAGAAGGATTCATTTCCAGATTTACCGATTGATTACATCAATATCTACGTCAGCGTAACCAATTGTTAGCATATTTGTATTACTAATATAAATATGATGAATAGATCATTGATTTTGATATATTGTTCTACTTTCACTATTTATGTTAAACTACAAGTAGATGTATCAAGCAGTCGTTTACACCAAAACATTCTAAAAGACATTCCTAATTTGACGTGGATTTGGGACTGTGAACTTGGTTTAACAGAACATTGACACTTATTGTGATCTTTGAGATGTTAGACCAAATTGACATCAAGGGCAAGGGGCATGCAGGTGTGCGGGCGAGCTTACCGTAGGCATGAGCTGGTCAGTACTGCGGACTCTCGTCACCTTGTTCTTGTAGATGAGTTTCTTGAGCGCGCGCTCGACGGGCTGGTTCCACCGCATGAACATCACGTACGCGCCGTACAGCGAGAATAACACCAGCGCCTCCTGCCAGTATATCATGCTGTCACGGAAACAGTATATCAACACTAGCAGGCTGATCGAGTAGAAGGTACAGTCCCGGAACAGGGGCCACCAGGTGAGGGAGAGAGTTGTGCGCGAGAAGAGCGCGCAAGCACCGATCACGAACAATATGTTGAAGACGGCGGAGCCGACGATCGTCCCGATGCCGACATCATCGAACGACACGAACACGCCGATGATGGAAGTGAAGAGTTCGGGTGCGGAGCCACCGGCCGCCATGAAAGTGGCACCGGCCACATCGTCGCGGATGGCCAGCCGCTCGATGATAACGTCCAGCGCCGGCACGAAGAACTCATCGCAGACGATCGCCAGCGCTACGAACATGTATCCCATGCCGAGCACGTGCAGCAGTACCGCGCCTGACCGCCGCTGCTCTTCCGTGAAGATGTCCGCGGGGAAAAGAGGCACCTTCTCCTCTTCCGGTAGGAAGGTGGTGAAGTTGGTGGCGTTGGGCTCGCCGGCCCGCGCCGCCGCTAGCAGCGCGAGCAGCAGCGCGCCACCCATGCCGCGCTCCCGGGGGCTGCCGCCACACTGCCGCCGCGACGCGCGCTCGCCTCCGCCGCTACACCACTAGCTGCGATTGCGAGCGATTAATCGAGCCGATATTATTGAATCGAATATTTGCTAGTCTCATAATTTACTTTTAGGTTAATGCAAGTGAAAAATTGTAGATTTGTAGTAAGGTCCTTGATCAAAACTGCATTCGAATGTTCCTTACGTGTACATTCCTCGTAAGAAAATGTAACTTTCACTTCTACGATAAGATTTCAATCAGGATCTATTTCTGAACTTGTTTTGTATAAAGATTAACATTTGTATGTCCTCAATACTCCCCCAAACCTCTAGTCAAAATTTGAAGAAACTTTGCAAGGGTATTCTTAGTCAACGTAAATAGTGCATATTGAAATCGATTAATGTTTGTCGTATTCGATACATCGAGAATACCTATGGCAATCCCTAGTAGCGTCACTCCCCCGGTTGCGGGGAGCCGGGGAGCGTTCGATAGCGTCGCACTGCGTCGCCCCGCCTCACTCCGCCCCGGCCGTCGGGACACACAGCTGCTATAGATGCGCTCTCCAACTTCAAGCCTCGGGTAAAGACATCGCATGCAGCGAACGCGGTACAACCTTAAGATACAAATGCATAATCTGGTACATACTGTGTATGAGAACTTAATGTCATCAAAGAGTGTTACATAATTACAATTTTCTTGCTTATATTCTTTATGTAAATAAATGTTTTAGTTTCATGTTACTTTTTAGGTTATATTTTATTTTTCTGACTGAGAATAAGAAAATTATCGTAATCATTGCAAGCCATGAATAAAATGATGTTTTATTTTTTATAAATTGCTATCAATTTATTTATTTCAACATGTAACAGAAATGATAAAACATCGAGACCGCAACTTCGGTGACATATCTACGTACCGGAACAGCGACAGATGCAAATAATTGATGCTGCATGGCGAATGGAATTATTTATTGAACCACACAACTGTAAATATAAAAATATTAATGCTTAATTTAAAAAAAATAGTAAAAAACTAAAGAATGCGGACTTAAAATCAGAGTCGTGGATTTAAACTCTGCCATTCGACTATTGTGAATTTTTAATTAGTGAAGTTATTGATAACTTTTTAAACTCATTTATGCATTTTATCAGCATCGTTCAGGCTAAATTAAAAATAATTAAAAATATAACACAGTTATCTACTTAGACGTAATTACAACCGATTCTTCCCGCAATCCGTTGCCTCGACGTCTGCCAACTATTGAATGCAGGAGAGCTCCTTAATGTAGGGGGAGGTGGGGGGCGGCCTACTTGCTTAATTAAATTCACATTAATGTTCATATGATTCGTTCTGTTAAATTTTTAGGTTACCTTAGCGTTGTTTTAAAGATAACTTAAAAATAAATTAATATATGAAGTCTTTTTAGATGCGTTTTTAATCCTTTGTTTAATGCTTGGAATACGACGGAATACGTCATATTATTTAGACATTGTGTGAAATACCCAATTAATCACTTTGACCATAGCACATAAATTGCTTCCTTTAGTATTTAAGTAGTCGCTAATAACGTACTTTTCTCATATTGAACTAACACTTAACAAATCGTCAGTTAGTTAATTAGTTATTAAATAAGTAACGTGTTATAAATTGTATTTCTACTTTACTTCAGTTAAATTTGATATATTATTATTTTATCGTATCTCGTAACGCTGTCATAGAGTCTACACCTGCCGCTTATGTAAGATGGCACGCCGCACATTGGGCTGAATCAAGTTGCTCCATAGACAACTTTATCTGATGTTTGAAATGTCTCTTTTTTTTGCTTAAATGTGCTTTGT